GGGAGAGGCACTGGGAAGGAAGGCCCACCAGGCGAGGCTGGTGGCCACCTTTCCAACCGTGCAGGTTGCTGTTGGGGCCACATGGACAGGATGAGGGCTCTGCTCATGCCCAAGTTGCAGGTTTCTCAGATATAATGGGGGGCTGATCCCTCATGTCTTCCTAAGAGCCTGTTGAGTTCTAGAAAGAACTATGAGCCTGGCATGATGGCTCATTGGCTAAATCTTCACCTTGCAAGCGCCGGAATCCCATATGGGCACCAGTTTGTATCCTGGCTGCTCCACTTCCCTTCCAGCTACCTGCCTGTGGTCTGGGAAAGTAGTAGAGGATGCCCCAAACCCACATGGGAGACCCAGAAGCAGTGCCTGGCTTTGGATTGGCTCAGTTCTGGACATTGTGGTCACTTGAGTGGATCAGCATATGCAATATCTTTCTGTCTCTTCTTCTCTCTGTAAATCTGTCTTTCCAATAAAAAGAAATCTTTAAAAAAAAAGAAAGAAAGAAAGAAAGAGAAAGAACGGAAAGCTTAGAACTGCCTCTGTGTATGTGTGTGCTCTGGGATGGCAGAATGAGGAATGGCCAGCTGGGTGAACCCCGAGCCTTTCAGCTATCGCACTGAATCTTCTAGCTGTGTAGCTGGGCGGGCAGGACACTCTGAGAGGCCCAGGGGCAAGAGTTGAGGATTGCCTAAGGGGAGTTAGGGGATTTACTGATGATGAAGGCTGGCTGGCCGACCAGGACCTGGTAGGCACTGAAGGACTGGGTCTGGGGCATCCTCTGCTCATTTGGATCCAACTTCTGGTCACCCAGCACCTGCGGGAAGAAAAGGCATTGTGGTGTGGTGAGGCTTTTTAATGGATAAGAACAAGGAATGTGTGTGGGTGTGCTTGGTCAGGAAGCAAATTCAGGACAGTTACGGTCAAGGAATAATCCCTGGATCTGTGCTGTGTGGGGGAGGGCAGGTGTCCCAGACAGGGCGCCTGGGTGTCGGGCAGAATTGCCCCGTGCTGCATGCGGGCAGGTGCAAACCCTGTCTGAGGAGGTCCTCCCCTCAGCGATGGGACAGGTCAGGGGTGGGTGTGGGGACCTGGGCTTCTGGAAAAAGACATGTGTGAGGGCAAGGCTAGGCGCATCCTCCCTCCCCGTCAGGTGTGGAGACAGGGACAGGGCCGACAGAGAGGCGGGGTTAGGGGATGGTGTGCAGAAAGTAACCGGCTTCCGGTCCCAGGCCGCCGGCCCAGGGCTGGGACAGGGTGCGAATTTTCCACCCGTCTGAAGCAGCAAGAGTCCGGTGGTGTGCGCCCACTCTGCGCTGCGCCTCCAGCCGTTATCTGCCCCGCTCGCTGGCGGACGGCTGGCCTTCGGTGGACTCTGGTCCCCCGGGCTGCACCCCGCCGCGGCGCTGGGCTCCGGGAGGCTGGGGAGCGGCTGCCTAGGACACAGCGGGAGACCCGGCCGCGGGGAAACTTGGACGGCGACAGCCGCTGCACCGACTAGGGGAGTCAACTGAGCGAGGGCCCAAGATCAAAATCCACGGCGACGCTCATTGTTTAGAAAAGGCAGGGCCCTTTGTTCCTGGGCTTCACCGAAGCCGAGCAGAAGCACTCTTTGCCCGGTCCCGTTTCCGCCGACAAAGACGATGGCACGCCGGGTCCTGGCTCCTCGGGCTCGGCCTGGCCAGGTGCTTGAGGCCGTGGTGATGGGATTGGGGGTGATGGTCCAGGACCATCGCCCCCCGGAGCTCAGTGCCGGCACCGCCGACGGCTGCCAAGGGATTTTCTGGGAGGGAAGTGTAGCCGTCAAGACGGGCAGCTGATCGGGTGACCCGGGCCTGACTTCCGATTCCATTTTAAACGACCTGCACATCTAATCTAGGCGTCGCCTCCCAGGGTTTCCACCCACCCCCCAGCCTTGGCCAGCCCGGTCGGAAGCGGGACCCGGCGCTTTTGAAGTCCAGGGAATTTCAATCCCAGAGGAGCCGGCTGGCCCCGCAGCCCGGGCTCCCCAGCGGGAACGGGGGCTGCTGGCCCGCAGGGAAGGGGAGGTGAGAAGCGGGTGGGGGAGGCGCGGGGAGCCTGCTTCGGGTGCTGCCACCCCCTCCCGGCTGTTGTGGGGTCGCGGCGCGGACTTCCTTCGTTCTCCGACTTTTTCCTTTTGGAGCACAGAACCCTCCAGACACAGAGAAGACCACACGCTGTTACAACCCTCCCCACGCACGATCCAAACCCACGAAAGACAAAAGGCGGGGTTTACACTCACCTTCCCCCTCTCTCCTCTTCCTCCCACTAACCCCCCTTTTTTCCTCATCTGATATTAAGGTGTTTTTTTTTTTTTTTGCGAGAGCTGACATTCGGTTATTATTATCTTGCCCCACATACTGGGGTCTCAACAGGACTTAAAGACAGCAAAAACCGAGGGTTGGGTAGATGGGCGGAGGGGGGCTATCAGTGAACAATCAGCTCGGAGCGTCAGAGGTAGCCCCTCTCTCAGAAGCTGAGCCTGGGCTTCACGCCCCCTCCCTGCGACGTCCGGACTGGACCGAGGGCGGAGGCTGGGTGGCGCCCCTTGATCTCTCGATCCTACTTCCTTTCATCTTTGGGGAAAACGGGTGGGGAAAAAAAGGATCAAACGGAGAACGTGCTCACAGAATGCAAAGCTAAGGGCGGGGCAGGGAGCCTGGAGTTCCTCTGGAGACCCCGCCCTCAGCAGGTGGGGGCGGCAGGACAGGGGTGAGGGGCCGCCCCCAAGGCAGCCGTGAGAGCGGCCCAACACCCCTGGGGAGCTCAGTGCCGAAACTGCAGACTGGTGACTGAGGCGGCTCCCAGCTGGGCACACGGACTGAGAGCCGGGAGCAGGTGCCTCCCCAGGATCTGCCTGCGGCTGGAAATGGGCTTGAGTGTGCTGGAGCCCAGGACAGCTCCGAAGGACAGTGCTGCAGAGGCCACTCTCCCAGTCACACGTAGTACGCATTTTCTCAGAATTCGGGGTTAGCAGTGTTGAACACGTACTGGTTTGGGGACTCACTGGGACTGGACAGTGGTCCGAGTGAGTGTGTCATTCCTTAGCCCCTGGCTTCACCATCCCCTACTCCCATCTCCATCCCAGGTGGGCATCTAAAAGATGGAATAGAAAGGAATTTCTGTATTTCCTTGACCTCCTAGTTTCTTCCACCACTTTGCACAGTCCATGGGATAAAAGACCGAAAGGAAAGGAGAGCAAGGTGGGAGGCAGAAGGGAAGTAGGGGAGGTGGACAAAGGTTCTTTAGACACCCGGCTGTCCTGCGGGGGTGGCAGGGCTTTGCCAGAGCACCGGGAGGGAAGGAATTGGGGAGGTGGGCAGGGCGGTGGGTTTAGGGCTGAGAGTTCCTGGGGAGGAGCTGGACACACAGACACCCACCTCCCACCCTCAGGCTGCCGGCCTGGCCCCACAAGGGATCCCTTCCCTGGAAGCAGACCTGCAGGTGCTCTCCATCAAGACCCCCAAGCCACCCACCCCTTCTCCAGCTCTGCCATGGGGTTTGGTTGTCTTGTAAAGACTTCTCAGCACCTCACCTCCATCGTTGTGACCTATCCCTTGACCCCAGCATGAAAGAGGGTCCTGCAAGGTGAACCCTGCAGAACTCTAACACTGTGAGCTCAGGTACTGTCACCCGCTGCCCCTATGTGCTCGGATGGAAGCTGCTCCCTGCCTCCAGTCAGGGCCCTCCTGCTCTGCCACCACGGTGTGGGTCACGTCAGCCTTTCCCTTTCACTGGAAAAACCTGTTTCCAGGAGAATTCGTTGACTCTCAACGAATACCTTAAAATACGGGCAAGAAAAGGGGGGGAAGCCACCACACCCGTAGTGCCTCTCCCCTCCCCACATACCTGAAGCCCAGGCGAGGCCGAAGCAAACGAAAACGTGATCTCTTCTGCAAAAGCCACCTTGAGGTCAAGCCGGGTTCTGGAAAGTTCCAGGCCAACTACATGGGCTAGGGGAGAATAAAATGATTACTTCAGTGAGCACCTTGAGTTGATAACCAATAACTCCCCGCCCTCCAGGTCCCCCGGGTTTTAAGAGGAAAATATCCAGACATTTCACTCTTGCTTACTGAGAAAAAAAAAAAAAAAAGGCAAGTTTGGCTTCCAGGAGGAAGGAGGCAGAGAGAGTAGAAAGGATAAGAAAAGGATGCCCCAGACAACTTGGGGTGGGGGAAAGGGAATAAGATTTTGAGCGCTAGCAAAAAAAGCAAAAAAAGCAAAAAAAAAAAAAAAAAAAAAAAAAAAAAAGGAAAAACGACCTAGAGAGCGACTCAGGAGGGTATCTGCCAGGGAGGGGGGCGGCAGGAACAAGGAATAATAATGCCGAGGCTCCTAAGCGGCCTTCACACTTGCAGAAAGCAGCCAGAGATTCTCGCGCCCCAGACGGAGGCACCAAATAAAGAAAACAAAAGTCAAAACAACAATAAAAGACAAAATGCAAAACGCGTCCCCAGTGCCCCCGCCGAGCCCGCCGCTCCCTCTGGTCTGCGTGCGGCATTCCATTCGCGGCCCTCTGCCCGCCGCGGTCGCCCTCTCCCAGGGTGTGTGTCTCTTGTCTGTTTTCACACTCTCCACCCCATTCGAGCGAGGCCCACACCTGGCGCATCACTGCCGAGCCATTAGCCGCCGGGCTCCTTTCATCTTCGCTGTGGCAGACGTTTCTATTTATCCGCTAGCGCTCGCCGAGTGGCGTCACCAGCGGTACTGTAATGACGATTGCAGCGGGAGGATGACAGCTTAGAAAGACGAGGGCAATGGGGCTTCCTCCCAGAGGCGGTGCGGCACGCTGGAGCACTCGCATCACAAGGTGACCCCGGCTCCCCGCTGCCACCTCCGCGGTCGCCGTCTACACTGCGCTCCGGGGCCCTCTCCTCCTTCCTCCGACAGCTAAGATCTCTCCGGCCGCTGGACACCCGGGGAGCCGGGGGGGTCAGGAGCTCGCTGGGGCTTCCCCCCCGCCCCCGCCTCCGGTGAACCCCAGGATGGAGAGCCGCAAGGACATGGTTATGTTTCTGGATGGGGGCCAGCTTGGCACTTTGGTTGGCAAGAGGGTTTCCAGTTTGTCCGAAGCCGTGGGCAGCCCGCTGCCTGAGCCCCCCGAGAAAATGGTGCCCCGGGGCTGCCTGAGCCCGCGGGCGGGCCCTGCAGCCGCCCGGGAACGCGGCGGGGGAGGCCTAGAGGAGGAGCCACTGGAGGGACTCGCAGGAGGCGCGGCGGGGCTGGGCTCCGAGCCGCGGGCAGCCGGGGCGGCCATGCTTGGCCCGGGCCCCCCTGTCCCCTCCGCCGACAGCCTTTCTGGCCAGGGGCAGCCCAGTAGCTCGGACACTGAGTCGGATTTCTATGAAGAAATCGAGGTGAGCTGCACCCCGGACTGCGCCACTGGAAACGCGGAGTATCAGCACAGCAAAGGTAGCCACCGTTCCCCTCGGTCCCCCTCCCATCCCCACCCCGGGCCACCCCTTGCACATTCTGCCCTCTAGCTCGAACCAGCAAGGAGGACGGACCCCTTTCCCTTGGGCAGGATGGCTGGGGAACCCGCCTGAGTTCACTCTGTCGCGCTCTCGGTGCTCTGGCGGGGGGTCTCCTACTGTGTTCTGACATTGGTGGGACTGAGCATGACAACCGTTCCTTGTTGGGGGGGGGGCGATGGAGAAGGGGGAAGGGATCGCCAGCTCTGGGCTTGGGGGGATTCGGAGCGCACCCCAGCCCCCCGCCCCAGCGTTTTGTGGGAATGGCTTGCATTGCGCGCCGTAGACACCTTCTCCCGGGGGAGGGCCAGATCAAACGCAAGTCGGGCAGTTTGCGGCTGCTGGGGTGCAAGGCGCATCCAGGCGCGGAAGCTAGGAGTCCATAAAGGACCGTAAAACCGCGGCTGGCGGTGGCCGCCTGGGCGCTGCAGCCCCCGGACCAGTTTGCACGTCGGTCAGAGGTCCAAATTACCTTGTCACTTCCCGGGCTCGGCGGCGCCAGGTCGGAAATGGTCCCACTGGTCTAATTACCTTTGGTCTCCGGTTGCATTTGAAAAGGCAGAAAACGCCGCCCCCCCCCCCCAGTCCCACTGTTTCACCCAAAGGAAAAGGAGCTGCAGGGGGCCCTAGTACCACCCTTCCCTGGGGGTAGGCCCGGTTCACACTGCCCCTCCCCGATCCGGGGTTGATAGCTGTGGGGGTGGATGACCCGGAAAGCACACTGTGCTGTGCTGGGGGTTGGGGGGTGGGCACTGGGAGGGAGACCCTCTGGCTGACACTTCTGCAGAAAGCTGTGGGAGTTGGTAGGAAGCGTCAGGGGAGAGCCAGCAAGCCGCCCCCTTGGCCTTGGCAGCCAACACCTGTGAGTACACCCTCTCCAGCCCATCTATTCCCTTCAACCCAGGTTTGACCGTAAGATGCTTGAGTGAGCAAGTGTATTTTCCTGGGATGCCCCAGCCCTGCCCGGTGTGTGTGCCTGTTCACATTTGTGTTGGCACACCCAGGAGCAAGGCATGCCTGGTATCCTGCAGCCAGTTCCCCATGGCTCTGGCATGCTGACCTGCCAGAGGAGTACACCTTTGCCCACCCCTGCAGGTGCTAGGCAGAAAGCTGAGAGAGACTGCACCTGGCCCCTGCCTGAGCACCTGGGAGCCACCAGACCCTGCTTGCCTTAGAGCCAGGCTTCCCGAACTGCAGGCCCAGCAGGCCTCATCCCCCATCCCCTGCCCCTTCACGAGAGCCCCTCCCCTCCAGGCAAGCTCCAAGCAAAAGAAGTGAGAGCCGTGTCCCCTTGGGCCTTTAGCCCCACCTGAATGGACCTATGTGTGTTTGAGGTGTGTGTGTGTGTGTGTCTGTGTGTGTGTACCCACTTGCACACACACGTGTTCTCTGGCCTTCCTGCACAGGGCCCGGCTCGGAGGCATCAGCCGGCAGTCCCAATAGTACCAACGAGGTCCCCAAGAGCGGCAGCGCTGGTGGCGGCGGCGGTGGAGGAGTGGGAGGTGGTGGCGGCTCCCAAAGTTCCCTGGCCTGCAGCGCCAGTGATCAGATGCGCCGTTACCGCACCGCCTTCACCCGGGAGCAGATCGCGCGACTGGAGAAGGAGTTCTATCGGGAGAACTACGTCTCGAGGCCCCGACGCTGCGAGCTGGCGGCCGCCCTCAACCTGCCCGAAACCACCATTAAGGTATGGGCGGCGTGAAAGGCCGAGTCGGGTGTGCGCCCCTGGAGCAGGAAGTAAATCCCTAGCCTGGCTCCGCAGACTGCCGCTGACTGTCCCCAGGCGGCCACCGGGGCCTCCAGGTGGATCCCATCCCCGTCCAGAGACGGATGTACCATGGGGATGAAACACCTGGGCGAGGGACACACGCTCCCCAAGACAGGGTTGAGAAGGGACTGCGTTTCTGGGGACAGCTGCTGGCCAACTGCCCTGACCGGTCCCTCCCCCCCAACCCACCCACTACAGCCGGGCTCCGGCACCCCAGGGGTCCAGGCCACGAGGGTTAAGGAAGGAGAGACCGGGTCTGGAGTTGTTTCTTGGATCTCTTTCCAAGGGGTTTTAGTCCTGCCCTCACCGAGCTGGGGTCCGCCCTGCCTCGGGTCATCTTCCTCCTCCCAGGGGCTCTAGGCCTTGGGGGCCTTGGGCGCCTTGGCCAACGCGCTGCGCTCCTCTTTCCCAGGTGTGGTTCCAGAACCGGCGTATGAAGGACAAGCGGCAGCGTCTGGCCATGACGTGGCCGCACCCGGCCGACCCCGCCTTCTACACGTACATGATGAGCCACGCGGCGGCCGCGGGCGGCCTGCCCTATCCTTTCCCGTCGCACCTGCCGCTGCCCTACTACTCGCCCGTGGGCCTGGGCGCCGCTTCCGCTGCCTCGGCCGCCGCCTCGCCGTTCAGCGGCCCGCTGCGCCCGCTAGACACGTTTCGCGTGCTCTCGCAGCCCTACCCCCGGCCCGAACTGCTGTGCGCCTTCCGTCACCCGCCGCTGTATCCCGGCCCAGCGCACGGACTAGGCGCGTCTGCCGGCGGCCCCTGCTCCTGCCTTGCTTGCCACAGCGGCCCCGCCAACGGGCTGGCCTCCCGGGCCGCCGCCGCTGCAGCTGCCGCCGCGGACTTCACCTGTGCCTCTACCTCCCGCTCGGACTCATTTCTCACCTTCGCGCCCTCGGCGCTCAGCAAGGCCTCCTCCGTGGCACTGGACCAGAGGGAGGAGGTGCCTCTCACCAGATAAGGGGCCGCCTGCGGGCTGCCGGCTCCAGGATGTCTGCGGTGGTGGTGGGGATGGTGATGGTGCGGGAGGTTGGCCAGCCAGCACCCCTCTTCAGTCTGTTTAGGACACAGAGGGGAGTGGAGGGCGAGGAGGGTCGCAAAGGACCTGCGGACAGCCTCAAGGGTTGAGATTCCCCCAGACGGCTGTGGCCAACACGTTTGGGAGCCAGACCTACTGGGTGCGGTGGGGAAGCTAGAGTGGCTTAGATGCCTGCTGGGGTTTAGACCCACCAGCCCGGGCTTGGGGGGTTGGGTTGAGGCCGTGCCTCCTACAGCAACTGATATTCAGCCCTGTAGCTGGCACTACAGTCTCCTAGTCTTTCCTCACCCTGGGGCCCCTTCCCTGCAGGGGGCAAGCCCTAGTACTGGAAAGGGAAATTGCTGTGACAGAGTACTATGTGTGCCGAGCAGGTGGAGGTGGAACTTTGCCAGCTTGCCCAAGGCCTGGTCCTCACCAGGGGCTCGTGGGTTGCAAGACCCTAGTCAAGCAGGGGAGAAAAGATTGAGAAAAACCCTGTCCCCTTAGCCAGGTGCCCTTGTCTCCTCTTGCCAGCCTACTTGGTTCTGGCATCTCCCAGTCCCGCAGCTCCTTCCAGCCTCCCCACCCCAGTGCTGCTGGCTGCTGCTGTGCCTCTCACCTTGCAACTGCGCCCACGTACGCGCGCGCGCACACATCACCCACTCTCCTTTTTATCTGGCTTTCCTAGGGAGGCTGCCTTCCCCTGGGTACCTCAGGCCCCCTGAGCAGCTTCTCTGAGTCCAAGCCTCCTCTCCCTGGCCCAGCACACACCCTGATTAGTAAGCGCTGTGTGTGAGCGAGGAGGATTTTTGAATGTTGAATGTATAATCGTGCTCACCATGGTGCGGTTGGCCATGGCCCAGAGTTGCTGAGCTGTGGTTAACAAGGCGCCCAGGGAAGAGTTCAGGAGTGGAGCCTGCACCTCCCTCCCTTGGCGGCTGCAGGCAAATTAGAGGCGGTTTGCATTCTGTGCCATTCACCTTCAGTTCAGCAGGGGCTGTCTGTGTCATTTTCCATCTTCTCGCTTTCTTCCCTAACTGCCACTGGGGCTTGACTTTCAGACCCCAGCGGGTGGTGGTGTCTGCCCCTTCCGGACAAACATCTTCTCCACCCCCCACTCTTCACCGGGTGTCTGGGAGCCATTCCAAGCTCTCACTTCCACATCATTCTCGCAGTCAGTTTTTGGGGATAAGAAGAGAACTACATTTGTTTTTACCCCCAATGCGAGTTTTACTCCTGGTTGAGAGGGGCTGAATTTGCTTGGTTTGGGGGCTTTCCTTTGAAGCCCAAAGAATTTGCTGTTACAATTTGTTAACCACACTGCAATAAAAGCTGGATGTGATTCTCACTTTAGCATTAACATTTTCTTGTTTGTTTTTAGGTAGTAGGTGGCATTTAGAGTCATTTTGAACTGCTAATTTGGCTAGCTAGTTTGGGTATGTAAAGAAGGAATTCAAAGGTGGACCACAGACCCAGTCTCCTAAGCCTTGTGGGGCGTCGGCAGGCTCCAGACGGGATCTCACCTGGCAGCGGACAAGGCAGGCTGCAAGGCTCCCTGGAGTGCATGCGTCCTACCTTTGTGGGCGTGATAAGTAAGAGCCAGCCCTCTAAACTTCCCTGCTCCCCAACCCTGTGCTGCCCTTGCCCAGCTGTCCCATTCCTGGGCTGTAGTCACCTCCACCCTAACCCAAGTTGACAAGGTCCTGGAGCTGGGCGTGCCGGTCAGGCTGGGCGTGCACCTGCTGGTGGGCACAGATCATCCTCGCTTAGATGGGGAGGATGGGATTCTGGCCCAAGCGGCTGTGTTCAGCAGCCATCTCTTGGGGGAGAGGCAAGCACAGTTGTGACTGGAACCCTGCTGATACAGGAGCGGGCACCTGCAGGGAGCCAGGAGGTTGTGAATGGCTGGGGCACCAAGAGGCTTCCTGTGCTCTATAGCCTCTAGCCTAAGCAAAACGTTGCCAGGAGGTTTCTTTTTCCAGCACCTTCACCCTCAGGTCTGATCAGGTCCCTGCAGCTGGAACCTCCTGAGCGCCATATCCCGGCAAATTCTGTGGTTGCTCCGCACTGGGCAGAGATTGCTTGCGACAGGTAAATGGGCTGCGGGTAGCCTTAATGCCAGGCGTATTTTCAGTTAATAGGGAGGGAAAATGAGGTGTCTGCAGCAATATTGGAAAGTACAAGATCGATGATCTGGCCTCGTGTCCAATCAGCAGCCTTTAATTGACTGTATTTTCTGGGTAATTGAGCCTCTCTCCCTCCAAATTGAAGTGGAAGATATAACAATACATCTTGCCAGGAGGAATTACTCATTACTTCATAATGAATTTTCCCTTTTGCCAAGGTTTGCGGTTTGGCGCCAGGCACTCCTTTTTACTACCCAGTCCCCCCACCTCAAGCATGCGTGGCCGGACTTAAGGTGCCCTCCTTGGGGGTTGGGGCAGTGGTGGTGAGGAGGACTTGGAGCAGACTGTGAAGCAGGCACTGCCTTTCTACAACCTCAGTATTCTCATCTGTGAAAAAGGAAGGCTAGGCAACAGGGCCTGGATTTGCATTGCGCTACAACTTTCTTGAGTACCTGCACTTGGCTTTGCCCCATCTCCACCCCATTTTGCAGGCGGGATAGCAGAGTTGTGGCTGAAGCAGCACCGGTTTCTTCTTGCCTGCTTCCACCTGCCTTGTAACCCACCAACACCTTACTGTCCATTTCCACTTTCCTGTGGCTCCTCCCCAGTGCTAGCCTGGCCAATTGGGCAGGCACATGGGGAGAGCAGGGTTCAGTGCCAGCCTGGGTTTGCCCAGAACGGCAGGCCTTGTCTCCTTGCAGCCCAAGTGCCGGGCCGTCGCCTGCTTGTTACCGTGTGATTGATTGCCTTATTAAAGCGTGTTCTTGTAAGTGTGACCAAACTGATTGCATTGCATATGTTTGGGATAATGCTCATTTTAAACAACAAGATAAAGAGGATGAGCTGGGCAGAGACGAAATGATTCTGGCCAGCAACCCCCTAACTCTGGGATTAAATTAGCCAGTTCCACAGTCAATCACTTGTTTCTTCCTGTCTTGCCTCACTTTCCTCAGTTTGATCATATTCCCCCCATTGTGCTATGCTTCACTGAGGGTCTTCTCTGGCCACTGCATCAGCGTCGTTTACTTTGGTTTGGACCCTGCACCCACACAGTTCAGACATGGGGTCCTCGTTATTCTAGACCCAGGGAGAAAATATTTAGAATGCACTCCCATTACTTTAGGCTTCCCAGAGGGGCTGGGGCCCTGGATAGTCCCTACCTCCCCCACCCAAGGCAACTCCCAAAGCCAGCCTTTTCAGGAAAGTTCCACGAATACTTTTGTCCTCAAGCTTCTGCTCCGACGCTTCTATTATCTCTCAAACCTGGAAACAGCCAGTGCCATATGTCTGCCGGAGCGAGAGTGGTGGTCACCAACGACCCTTGCTGGTTTCAGGTCCTTCCGCGTCTTCTCTGGCTTCACCATCGCTGGTAGGGAGAGAGGCAGGCACCCAGCTGTGAGAAGGTGCCAGCAAAACTGGGGGATTGCTTCTGATAACCTGCCTGCTCCCCTCTTTGCCTTTGGTACCCCTCCTCCCCGCCCCGTTCTCTTCCTGCTCCTTAACAAAGACATCCCCAGCCGGCTTTAGGCCAGTGCAGTTAGGGTCCAAGATGGGGCATCCTAAGCGACACCGTTGGGATCGGCTAGAATTCTGATTTGTACAAGATGATGACCGTCACCAGGACAAATCAGAAGCGACGCTGCGCGTCAGGGCGTCGTGTGTAAGAGCAATCACTTGGATTCGTTTGTGGGAAGCAGCTCGTGTGCACCCAGCTGAGTGCGAGGCAGCCCGCTAGATTCAGTGGGTCACTCCGCTTCTTCCGGGGGCTGCTGCTGCTGCAGAGGTTGCGTTGAGGCAAAACTAAGGCAGAGTTCGTCACTTGTGCCAGCTATGGGATCTCGGAAATGCAGAGCCCAAGGAAAAAAAAAAAAAAACAACACTTGAAGCCAACCAGGAACGCATCTTTACTGTTGACAAACCAAACAGAAACACCAAGTCGTTTCCAAAATCGCCTTCTCAGCAAATAAGCGTGTGATATTCCAGGCAGGAGAGAAAGATTGCCACTTAAAAATAACATGAAAGCATTAAGTAATTATTTAAAACAAGACTGTTTAGAAAAATATTTGTATTTATTGCAGCTGCTCAATTGGCCTCGTTAAAGCCGGCAAGCATTTAAATTGTGTTACAGTCTCATTTAAATCCCGCTCCGTTCCAGCAGGCTGAGGAGCCTGAATAGACCAATCACTTCGTAATGATGATGAATGAGAAATTAATTCAGATACAAGCAAGACAATTTAGGCCTTCATCTGTTTAAATAGCCTTCCAATATTATTCGCGATCGTGGGTCACAGATTGAATCAATTGTCCAATCTTGTGAAAGTCGTATCCTGCATCTTCATCGAGATTATTTATAACGCAGCCAGCGCTGCTGAAAGGTATACGCTGTTAACAGGGACAATTACTTAAAGGGAAGCGTTTATAAAATGGAAAACAAATGCTGGGGTCGGTAACGAAAGCGATCAAAAGTAGTCCTTCCCATCTGGCTCCCCACCTCAAATGCTCACCCCCCCTCCCCGCGGAATGCAGGGTGAAGCAGCCTGGGCTCTTGACCTCCTCTGGGCGCAGGTGAGGCCCACCCTCCACCCCCACCCTATTCCCGGGCGTGCGGCCGGAGGCGTCGACCCGGGCCGATCGGAATTCCCAAAGCCGGCTGGAAATCTCAGCCCCTGTCGTCCGGGCGGCGGCCGGGCGTGGCCCAGGATGGACAGCGCCTCCAGTCGAGGCCCAGCGCAGGACGTCCCACTGTGAGCCTGGATCTCTGGCCCAGTCTGGGTCCGAACTCCACTCCCGAGTGGCCACCGGGCGCTCTCTGCGGCC